AGGTAGGGGTCGCTGCGTGTCAGCTTCGTCATCCTAGCAAGTTCCGGATGGCAGACTACATACGACCATTGCGTCTCGGCACCATAGTTTGGTTGGGGAGCCTAGAGTTCATGTCTCTAGGGCATGAGTACGACATGGTGCTCCTCACCCCTCGAACCCCACCGTCCAACGACGGAGTCGCGCCCCGGCAGCCCAGGCGCAGGCGGCGCCCGGGCGGCCGCTCTCGCCACGCTCGCCGGGCACGACGCGAGCAAGGCCACCCCGACGCTACGCGAGCCCAGGGCGACACGCCTCTCCCCGCCGATGTCCTACGACCAGCTGTTGGTACGGGGTCCCTGGCTGGGGACCTGTCTGGCCTGAGCCTGAACGAAGGAAAGTCGCCGGTGGCTTACGGCGATGCCCAGTCGTCTAACCCCGCTCCGCCACTCCCTGAAGAGCCGACCCCGGCGGGGCAGAACATGGAGAAGGCACCGTCCCCATACCCCTTTGGGTTGAGAAATGCCGCCGCCTCTTACGCCTACGCTTACGCTGCCACTCACAAGCACCCCTCGGAACGCCGCCAGCGCTTCGCTCTCGACTTGAGCACCCGCTCCGACTCCTCGGACGAGGACGAGGCATGGCCCAGGGTGGATTTCTCCGAACTTCACAACCCTGGGGATTTGCGCCAATTCTTGGCATAGCGACCATCGCCTTCGGCTACATCTGGACTCCGACGATGGAGGGACTTACGATCCATCTCGTGAGTGCTTCCACGCGTCGGGCTCGGGATGCCAAGGGCAAAGGAAGGGAACGAGAGGACAGGCAACCATTCCCGCCCGGCAAGTAAGGCGACGCCACACCACTGCGTCTCGAGGCCCCGGCGTACGGAACGAGAATCCGCCACGGGGGCATCGACGCCAGACTGGAGCAGCTCCACGAGCTTCAAGCCAAGGTCGAACAAGATCGACTCATTCGCAATGCTTCGGACACTCTCGGCGGGGGAGCAGCAAAGGGCGCCGGTGAGGGCGGAGGGCCCGAGGGAGGCCCGCGACGCCCACCACCGCATCAACGACAACGAGGGGATGAGCCGCCCCAATCTTTAACTCGCGCTTAGCGAATGTCGCAGCGCGCGATGCTAGTCCGAGCAATGCCCGAACCCTCCACCACCGAGGGGCGACGGGTCCGCGGAGAGCTCCGCGACCTCCTCGAGACAGCAGAGGTGCAAAGAAGTCGAAAGTTCCGCCTCCGCCGCGGCTGAGGCACTTCGAGCAACCCACTGCACGACGACTCGACAAGGCTGGTGCCTCGACCCGTCCCCGAAAACCCTTTCACCGACGGTCAACAGGGCCCTCTCGGCGCGCAACCGACTCAGGGACCAACACGAGGCACAGGGCGACCACGAAGTAGCTGACAGGCGACGGCGCCACGACGACGGAGCCGCCCGAGGCTACCACCCACACCGAGGCGGTCGCTACGACAGCGGTGAGGACCGCAGTCCTTCCCCTGAGTCGCCAGGACCTCGGGTCTTCAGCAGGGCCATCCGCGTTGCTTCTTTTCCCGCCTTGGTTCCGACAAATAAGCCAACTCGCGCCAAAGTACAAATGGCCGAGACCAACCCGAACTCTGCTCGCTGACATCACTGGCCGCCAGCTAGGTGGCGCGGACAATGACCTGCTCATCATCCGCAATCTCCCTTTGCTCTTGTCGGACTCGGCCATGAGCTGGGCCGAGCATCTCCCTCCTCGCAAATCCACGACCGGGCGCGACTTGGTTAGGATCTTCGTCGAACTTCCGTGGCACATACGCGCCTGGGAATTTCTGGATCTTAAAAGTCACGCCGCCGAAGCCGACGAGTCCCTCCGAGACTTCATCCGGTGCTTCTCCAAACAAAGGCACCGAGCTACCCAGCGTCGGCGACTCGAGATCGTCCCAGCTTCCTCTCCGGCACCACTTGCTCGGGACTTGGTCCGAGAGTTAGGGCGCTTACGTCCCAAGCTCTGCCGCCGCGCTCCTCGACATCGCCACCACCTTCGCCTCGGGGAAGAAGTCGCCGAGCCATCTTCCCCGACACCGATTCCAAGGGAAGCGGAGGAAGAGGCCCCGAGGCCTCAGCCCCACCTCCCTAAGAAAAAGAAGAAAGGTCGCCCAGGAAGCAGTGAAGTTCTCGAGGCCGTCCCATGTCGCCGCCGACGGATCGCAGAATCCCAGCGCCCCCGCTGCCCCGGCTATTTGACGACATCGTCAAGAAGCCCCGCCTCTTACCATCAAGGTCCGGTGAAGCACGCCGAGAGAGAGTGCACCATGCTCCGTCGCTACTACGCCAGCTCGGGCCTCCCCGACGCGACGCCAAGCGTAAGGGCCCCGCGGTCGAACGAGGACAAGGACGACGGGTTCCCCGAGGCACGCGCTTTCATGATCTTTGGCGGACCCTCGGCATGCCTCCTGGCGCCGCCAAATGAAAAGAAGGAACGCCGGAGGTTTTCTCGGTCAAAGTGGCCACCCCGGTACCTCGATTGGTCTCGGAGGCAATCACCTTTGATCGGGATGATCACCCCGATTATGTTCCAAACCCCGGGCAGTACCCGCTTGTCGTCGACCCGATCGTCGGCAACACCCGACTTACCAAAGTACTCATGGACGGAGGCAGCGGCCTCAACATCCTCTACGTCAACACTCTGGAGCTCCTGGAGCTCGACCAATCACGGCTCGAGGCGGTTCCGCGCCCTTCCACGGCATCGTGCCAGAAAGCGCCGCGCGACCCTGGGCGCGCATCGACTTGCCCATCCGCTTGGCACTCCTCCAACTACCGCAAAGAGGTCCTCACCTTCGAGGTGGTTGACTTCAAGGGGGCTTACCACGCCATCTTGGGGCGCCCGTGCTACGCCAAGTTCATGGCGATCCCCAATTACACCTACCTCAAGCTCAAGATGCCAGGCCCCAACGGCATCATCACCGTCGAGTCTACGTACGAACATGCATACGATCGCGACGCCGAGTGCATCGAAATACGCCGAGGCTATCGCGAGAGGCCGAGGCCCTCATCGCCGATCTCGACCAACTTGCTAACGAGGTTCCCGACGCTAAGCGGCGCTGGCGTCGGGACCTTCGAGCCCGCGGAGGACGCCAAGCTCGTCCCGTCGATCCCACCCACCGTCCCCGACGGCCCGGGATCAAGGTCGGCCCACCCTCGACAAAGAAATAGGAGGCCGTGGTTTTGTCCGACTTTCTCCGTGCGAACGTCGACATGTTCGCATGGAGCCCCTCGGACATGCCAGGCATACCAAGGGAGGTCGCCGAGCACGCCTTAGATATCCGAGCGGGCTCCAGACCGGCAAGACAGCGCCTGCGCCGGTTCGACGAGGAGAAGCGCAGGGCTATCGGCGAAGAAGTGCAGAAGCTCGTAGCAGCCGGATTCATCAAGGAAGTATTCCATCCAGAGTGGTTGGCTAACCCCGTATTAGTCAGGAAGAAAAGTGGCAAGTGGAGGATGTGCGTGGACTACACTGGTCTAAATAAAGCATGCCCGAAGGTCCCGTTCCCACTACCACGAATTGACCAAATCATCGACTCCACTGCAGGATGCGAAACCCTCTCCTTCCTTGATGCGTATTCCGGTTATCACCAAATCAAGATGAAAGAGTCCGACCAGCTCGCGACTTCTTTCATCACTCCATTCGGCATGTACTGCTACATAACCATGCCGTTTGGCCTCAGAAACGCAGGGGCTACTTACCAGCGGTGCATGATCCAAGTCTTTGGCGAACACATCGGGCGAACCATCGAGGCCTACGTGGATGACATCGTAGTCAAGTCCAGAAGGCGGTGATCTCGTCACGACTTAGAGACCGCCTTCACATGTCTCGTAGAGAGAGGGCATCAAGCTCAACCCCGAGAAGTGCGTCTTGGGGTTCCCGAGGCATGCTCTTGGGATTCATAGTCTCGGAACGTGGAATCAAGGCCAACCGGAGAAGGTCTCGGCCGTGACCAACATGGGCCCAATCCGAGACCTCAAAGGGGTGCAGAGGGTCATGGGATGCCTCGCGCCCTAAGCCGCTTCATCTCATACCTTCTAAAAAAAGGCCCCGCCTATACCGCCTCTTGAGAAAGTCCGAGCGTTTTTGGACCACCGAGGCCGAGGAAGCCCTCGCCAGCTCAAGGCACCGCCACCAACCCCTGTCTCCGGTTCCGCCCCACCGAGGGCGAGCACCTCTTACTCTACGCCACCGCGACAACCCAAGTGGTCACGGCCAGTAGTAGTCGAGAGGCGGAGAAGGGACATGCTCTACCCGGCCCAAATGACTTGCCTACTTCATCAATGAGGTGCTCTCCGAGACTAAGACGC